CCTGCATCCCTGACCAGGAGGAGCAGATAGAAGATAGATGGGTGGATGGCTGTAGTTTTTTGTGCGTTGCCACAGATTTGACTAACTTCCCAGTCAGATACCCAATCAGACGTCTTTCATAATACATCATTTGGGACATATTGGAAATCGACATACAGCCATATTCATGTTACTGTCATTTATCATGTATATATTCAAAGTATAAAATGTTGGTTTATAGTGTCATGCAAATATTTTAGGCAATTTTCCTGCATGTAGGGATGAATTGTTACTAAAGCTGTCAGACTGGCTGATGTGTCTGTAGACAGTTTCAAATCTCAGCAAGTGTTACAGCTGTACTCAGTAATAACTTATGCAGTTCAGTCATAAATACATCTTGGTGTGTAAATTAAATAATTAACCTCACCTGTTCACTGTCAGTGATGAACACTTTGGTCGTAACCTTAATTGATTATTCTGTATCCAACAAGCTACTCCAATATTGTTTTTAGAATAATGGGTAACACTTTACTTAATGGTGCACAAATAATACATGCCATTGCTTATGTATTAATTAACCATAAACTAAGTCTTAGTTACATATTGATCTCATGTTAATTCATCATTAATGAATCATGACATGCTTTATCTAAAGCAGTTACTATATCTGTTACTACATCTCTTAATTCTGTAAACCTTTCTGAACAACTGAAGTAACAAGTAACACAAGTAAAATACTGATCTCATGTTTGTTCACCACTAATCAATCGTGATTCATCTTTCATCACAAATAGCCGCAATATTTGTTCATGATTTGTGCTTCAGTAGTTACTGAGTTATTACTATATTACTTGTGCGGTTTTATAAATGACCTTTTCCTTATGAGTCTTTCCTGCCTGACAAGACAGAGTTTTTCCTTTTCCCTCCTAATCATAAGCCACTGTCCTTACTCCAGGTTCTGCTCCTGGATCGAGCCCCACAGGAGTGAATGATAAGGAACAGAGGTTAGTATTCAGCTCATCATGCTACAGCGTCTGACTGATCATACAGTAATGGGAAATGCATATCATTTTTATAAAAGTAAGGACATTGTGTTTATTTTATTTTTCTTAATTACAGTATCCCTGAGACGGCATCCCATCTAGGGTGAGCTGCAGGCCTGTTATGGAGGTTGGATGGATGTATGGATGTATTTTACAAAACAGTATAATGTAATCTAATAAACACATAACTGGTGCGAAAGTAATCATTAGCTGTATAAAGGTACAAATAAACGCTGATTTCTTGGCGCAACAGAGCAGATGCACATAAAATAAATGTGCCTTTGCTTCACTATGACAAGACGTTGTTGGGCGTATTGTTTTGTACACCAAATGTGTAATTGTGCACCAGTTATGTGCTTCTCTGCTAATAATCATACTGAAATTGGCAGTTTACATTTTCCAGCTAATCTCATGCTCTTTGTTAATGTCTCCTGTTCCTCACATGCAGCCTGTGTAATAGTACAGATGTGGCTGAACCATGTTACTATAAAGCATGTAAGACTTTACTGTTCAGATCCACCCTCTTATTCAGCTCCTTGGTCCAGCTGGCTCTGTATGTAGGACTGGGCTTATTGGTGCTGCTGTTGATCATCATCATCATCACATGGAAAGTGTGGGACAAACACAGTGAGTATCTGCTGATTCAGACGCTGTATAAGTGACCTGAATGTCTGATCTGGACTATCTAGGGCCTCTCAGTGAGGACGCCCTGAATCCAATTGCAGATGGAGGTGTTCAGCACCCACACAGCACATGGAGAACATGCAGACTCCACACAGACAGAGCAGAAGCCAGATTCAAACCCCTACTGATCAGCAGCTGATCAGTAAGGTGGACCTGCTCAGACTGAACACCTCCATCTGCAATTGGATTCAGGGCGTCCTCACTGAGAGGCCCCAGACAGTCCAGATCA